TATACCTGCAGGTCTCCCCACACGTGAATTTCACACGAAGTCAGCATGAAATAGCAAATAGAAATCAAAATCTAACAGCAAACATGGTAGGAGAACTGAAATGTGTTGCTGCACACCTGTACTCCCAGCACATAGGATGCTGAGGCAGGGGGATAAGAGTTTGAAGCCAGCCTGAGGCTATATAGACATATATAAACCTTTTTCTGTTCTTGTTTTCTAAACATTGTAACTGTGTATGGTAACAGGGACCATTTATCTAGCACTTACATTGTGTTGGGTATTTACTCATCTCCAGACCATTTAAAGTACACAGGAGCATGTACTGTACATTGGTTAGGGCAAATATTAAGTTATTTTACATATGTAAATTGAGCACTTGAGGATTTTGGCATCTTCAGATACCAACTGATATCTTTTAGATATCCAGAAATACTGTACTTAAAATTCTATTAGACCATTTCCTGCCAAAAGCACCTTAAAATTAGTTTAGTGAGTTCCAGTTAACTCAGACCAATAGCAATAGATTGAATTAGAATAATCAACAATTGTATCCCCCCCCCATCCCAGTGTCTGCCAGGAAGAGGAGCCTGCAAGGATATGCTCTAGGATCACACGGAACACCAACCCTCTGTGTCCCAGTTTCTGTTTTCAGATATTTCAGCTGCGTGCTGGGCCATTGTGCTGGTGAAAGGTACACGTATCTGACCCCATCACTTAGCTGCCGTTCTCATCAGCCATCTCTGTAGCCACTTGCCTCAAAGTGCCATACAAATGCTGGTTTTTTTGTGTGTCTGGACTTGGAGAAGTTGGTGATGACTTTCTAGTTGACAGGTTCTGGAATCACTTAGTACTTCGAGGTACTATCTTGATTAGGTCAGTGTCTTGGCCAGGCCTTTGAGGGACTATCCTGATTAGATTAACTGAGGTTTAAAACCAACCAGAAAAGTGGGCAGCACCATTCTCTGGGCTGCATAAGAAGTAGAAAGCTAGTTGAATGCACAAGCATTCATCTCCCCCTGAACTCTGGAGGTATGAGGAGCTATGAGCCAAAGTAAATGCTCACTGAAGTTGCTTTTGTCAGGGTATTTTATCACAGCAGCACACGTTGGTGAAGTCCTGGATGAGGTCAGTTCAAGAGTTTTAGCATCTGACCAATAGATGATGCGGAAGGGGAGGCAGAGTCAGTCTGTGAGAAATGAGCAGTACCTTCAAAACTGTTTCCAGAGTGAAGAGGAAATTTTCTTGAATTGCTAGTTTGAAAGAATCCTCCAAGAGTCCAGCAAAACACATGAGTGGAGCTCAGAGAGGGACACAAAATTGGCCATTTCTGAATATCAGAAATAAGAATAAGTTTATAAGCTTTCAGAGCTGGGGTTGGAAAGGGGAAGTAGTAGATGGATCTGGGATCAGCTTATCATCGCGCCTTCAAACAGCAAAACTGGTAGCCGGGAAGCAGTACCATAACTGAAAGTTATGGATGTAAAGTCACATGTAACCTTTTTTAGACCCTGCCAGACTCAGTAACAGGGAAGGATAATCAATTTTCAGATGTTTAAGAAACCAGAATAACTATAATCTTTCTTAGAAAGTAAGTTTGACAGTGTGCTGCATCAAAATAAGGGAATAAATAACAAAACAATATGTTGGACCCAGAACAGATGACGTATATGAAGAGGTATGAACTGTGTAGTATTCATAGAGCAAGGGTCTAGAGGTCTTCTGACTGATGTGCTCAATAAACTCTAGTTGGTATGAAGCATCCATATAATGAAAGAGAAGAGTAGTGAGTGTGGCTATGAATGCCTCCAAGTGCCAGTGGGTCTCAGAAGAGTAGAATGTAGGAGAACTTGCAATGGTGATCTAATTTAAAGTATGGCCCATGGGGGCCTTAAAGGCATCATCTATCCTATCTTGTCATCTGATGTATCCAACCATAGCAGTTGGATTTTCTTTTTGTTGTGTGTATGTGTGTGAGTACATGCACACATGCATGCACACTTATGTTGTGTAGATGTAGACACTTGTGTCTTGGTTTCCTGTGGAGATCAGAGACCAACCTCAGCTATGGGTCCATGCCTTTCACCTTATTGAGATAGGGTCTCATAGTTTGCCTCTGCATTTGCTAGGCTTCTAGCCTATGAGCTTCCAGACATTCTCCTGTCTCCACCTCCCATCTCACAGGATTGGGACTGTAGGTATGTGCCACCTTGTCTGGTCATACATGGGTGCTGAGGCTTTAAACTCAAGTCCTCACACTTGCATGGCAGGTCCCTATCCACTGAACCATTTCTCCAACCCAACTGCTGTATTTTAAATTGGCACCAATACTCAGTCTCTTCTTCAAGCACTCAGAGTTAGTACTTCACAAATCCTCTTCTGAAAGAAACCAGGAGAGGATCCATACTATGCCCTTGGTCAGTATAATATTCTCTTCTTACTGTGGAGTCAGGATGTTTGAGACCAAGAGCTCAGGGTCAAGTAACCAGTATAAAGAGATTCTCACTAGCCACATAAGGACAGGTTTGTGCACCAACAAGAAAAAAATACCATTAATTGGATTTTTTTTAATACA